TTGTAAGACGAACTGCAGTGGGCTGTCTGTCCGGATGTCTGACTGGCTGGCGCTGCAGAGTACCTTTTATCCCCCCTTCTTCGTCACTGCTGGACTCTCGCCCACACCTCTTCCTGCCCTTCAGGTGCTGCATGCATGAGGCGCGGGAGAGAAGGGAATGACAGGTCGCCTTTCCCCCTTTCCCAGAGGCCGGACTCGTCGGAGCTTGAGGGAGCACAGCAGCTGTGGGAAGCTAGCTCTCAGCTGTCTTGGGGTAGGACAGGAGGCGTTGAGGTGCGACAGCACACGACACGACACGAGCTGGATAGCTGCGTTTGGCGTAGTGCCGTGCCTCAGTCTTCCCCCGCGTTTTCAGATTTCACGCTGCGAATGAGAAAGGAGTTGAGCAGACTGAAGACGAGAAGGGGGAAGAGAGGAGGGATGGTCCATGAGCGAGTGGCCGAACGGAGTGTGCCATCCCACCACTCGAGAGACAATCCCATCTGTGCATCTCCAAGCGCTGTGTTTCACGCGCCGGACCCCGGAGCCTGCCGACATAGGAGGAAAGGGGTCTTGGCAGAAAGTGTAAGGCGCCGTTGAGCGAGAAAAACGAACATGTTATTACTCGATGGCTGAGGGTAAGAGGAATCATGGGAATTCTTTTTTCTTCGCTTGCGCAGGGCCCTTTGGCTCGTGCGCACGTACATTACACCTACGTCAGGCCTCATCAGGGTCAGGGTGTGTGTGTGTGTGCCGGTCAACTCGGCATGTCATTCGCCCGCAAGAAGGATGAGAGAGAGACACTACTCACTCTCTCTAGTTCGATAAGCGCAACGGTGGTGGGAGATAGAGAGACGAGGCAGCATTCCTTTTGAGTTCTCGAGTTGTAATAAGGCCCTGTCACTTATTGAACTAACCCCGCATTCGATCGGCGCCGATTTGCTGGTCTCTCTGCGCGGCCACCATCTCAGGGTCCAACAACCATGTTCCATGCCTTTCCTTTCTCTCTCGCTCGCTATGTACACCCGGCTATCCGTACACCACCTTTTACACCTTTTCTTTGCGGCAGTACCACCACGTCCGCGTCCACCACACCACCATTGAACCACTACGGACAGACCAGGGGTCCAAGGCTTTCCGAGAGGGCTGGCGCCTGCTGGGTCGAGGGCAGATTGACCGAGAAGAGGAAGAGTCGAGGGTGGGAGGAGGAGGCAGGAAACGTCTATAAGTTCTGCCTCTTTCCTCCGTATTTTCCAATTCCTTTCCCTTCTTCCTCACCCATCACTCTCGACGACAAAGAAACCATCGAAGACTTTAAGTTTCAGCCTCGAGCAACATAGCCTACACACAACCAACCATCTACACCACCAAACACCACCACCACCACCACCCAACCGCCAAAATGCCCGCTGCTCCCTCCTGCTGCAAGTGCGGAAGCATGATCGTCATCAGCAACTCGTGCCCGTCCTGCGGCCACCACGAGTGCCGCACCTGCCTCTAAACAACTCACATGAAGAGCGAGAAGATGCTCGGGAAGAACACGGCGTGAAAACCGTCCTTCCCCTGCTTCGGCTGAAGTGCGCTTTTCATTACACCGAGAGAGGCTCCGACGAATCATCACACAAAAACTACAAATCAAAACCTGCGCCTTACACCCACAACTAATGGACGGACGGCAACCGCCTTGCTCGCGCTTTGGCGCGACAGGCCAGGCTGAGCCAGGAAGAAAAACTAGAATGTGGTGGCACCCCCCACACACTCAGTCTTCCTAGCATCGCAGCAAGCCGATGAATTCCGAGCCTGCCTTTACCCAAGCTTTGAGGCTCCAACGAAAATTTTTCGGCGCCATCTTCAACACCACCACCCATCATCCACCACACGGGCTGCCGTTTGACGACTTCTTATTTCCGGTGGCGAGAGGACAGGCATGAGGCGGATTGTTCGGCGTCGGGATGGACCCTTTGAGTTGTTAATTTAGCCTTTTCACGATCAAATACCCTCCATATCCCTTGTTTGTTTTGGACATCTTTAGCACCGGCGTTGGATTGAGAACGGCGGGTTGCTCGGAGAGAGGATTTAGGGACACGGAGTGTTTTAGGTCACTTTTGTTCGAGCATTTGTACAAAATATCTCTACTATCCCATAAAAACAATCAGAAAACCAGAAAATCTTTGTCTAAAATTTTCTTGGCCCTAAATGACTTTGCGCAACCCTCTGCTGCAACACTTTGCGTGGAGAGAATGAGCTGAATGTAATTGCCCATCTGTCTTACGGTCTGCACACCGAAAATGTGGGTGACACAAGACCCGGAAAAGTGGCTCTCGCGCAGCAATGTTAGCGCCGGAAATTTTTGACTGTTTTCTTCTGCGACCCGATGCAGCCCGCCGGACGGGACCGTTCCGCGGACCACAGGGGGAGAAATGGCATGTTTCTGGCATGAAGCGTTCGACTGACCACCACAATTTAAAGTCGGCCCATCGTGAAACAGTCGTGGTGCCATTCACAGCGTTTGGCTCGCGTATGTATGGACTGTGAGCACTGAGCGGCTTGCCGAGCTACTTGCTGTAGCATGCGGTCCCGAGGCATCCATCCACCGAAGACGTAGGATCGGCGGCCGTGGTGGTATGTTTTCTAGACCAAATACCGGATAAAGCAGGCCTTGCATGTCTTGTGAGAAGAAGTACGGACGGAATGATGAGGGGCGTGGTGTTCAGATGTCTAGAACACAACGCGTCGGCGTTTTCGCCTCGGCTTCGGTGCAGATGAGCGCCCCCTCGTGGTCCACACATGCCCTCAACAACGCAGACAACAACAAACCGGCTTCATCGCGAGCTACAAAAGATATGCCAAGGCCCCTGTTGTTGAAGCCCAACACCACCTTCAACAAGCAAATCACTAGTTGAAACGACAACTCTCACGGAACCAACGAGGGGCTCTGTCGATCTCTTGTTGGTTGCTCAGGGTTCCCCGGAGCACCGCGTTTCTCCAACTGCTTGATTGTACTATCTTACTGGTCACACGACGCCGTTTAATATTTTCTCTCTCGAAAAGCATGAGATGCCAAGGCGAACCCAAGCTCTCGCTCCAAGTTGATGCCGAAAGAAAATGTTCTCGCTCGGAATAAATGTCTACGTTTTCTGTTGTTACACCTTGTATGACCTTGAACTCAAGAGGCTTTCTGTCTCTGAATTAAGACGTTAGAGACTTCTGATGTGGAACAAGTCTTCAATTGACGCGTTGCTCGGATCACAACTGTTAAGCATCGCCTCGTAGAATCGAGTAAGGTTCCATAGGAGAGTAAGTAGCTCAACAACCTATGGTAGTCTGTAAAACCTAAGACCTCCGGGTGAAGTTTGAGTAAGTGAAAACATTGTTACTAGAAGGCTTTCGGGGAACTACAAGTTGCTTAGAGCAGATGCGTCCGTCAATGTCACCTGCAACACAGGCAGCACTGCCGCGTTTAGAAACGTGCCGCGGGCATTTTCGCAAAGACACTGATGCAGTATGTTTCTCATCGATCAGAAATGTCAGGTCGTCTTTAGTAATTGCTAATTGATGACGGGGCGTGCATCGCAGCCTCGAGCGAGGCAAGAGCCTAGGCAGAATTTCTAAATATACTTTGACAAAACTATCACAATATGCTAGATGCTGGAATACGCAGTTAGATTTTTATAATCACATACATTTCTTCTTATATCAAAGAAGATTTTGTTCATCAGGAGATGTCTTTCGTTCCAGGGGAGGTGTTCCTTCTGTGTGGAACTTGGGGCTGGAAATAGGAGCTGTAGCAACATACTACCCAGGGACCAACCAGGAATAGGTCGGTGTTTCATTTGAATTCATGCCCTGGGAGAGATCACTAGAGACATCATTATTCGTCTATAGAATACCAATATCTGGCGAGACTATCATCATGACGGCTATTGTGATTGAATATCTCAGCAACCAAACATAACAAGAACTGACAGCAAGCAATGCATACCTTACATTACCTGCAGCTATCACAAACTTCATGAACAAGGCTTACCTGTCTTGTTACGATTCCTGCAATCTATACCCGTATCGAAGCGGAGCATCCATGTGGCAAAACACTATTGGTTCCGCTTGTGCCAAAATCAGGCTACGATTGCACTCGTCTGACAAGATTGACATATTTCATCCGGCATAGAATCATCTCCTTACTGACTCTAGCTAACAAGAAGTGCCGGAACATTGCTAATTGGTAAAAGTTGATCGATTATTCTGGAAGCCCGGGAGATATGTGCTGGATATATGCCTGGTATCTTCCGTTGAGACAGACGCCTTCGACAATGGGCATGCACAGCCAAGACCAGGGGCAAGACTGCCAAAGAGGGCCGTTGCTACAGCGTCTGAAATCTCCGGAGTCCATTCAAAATCTTCAAGAATGTACCGACAAGGGCTGCTTGTCTTGCAAAGGACGGATCGACATCATTCGACAGACGAAGCCGTGGTGGTTGTCCGAATCGCGGGAACGCAATCTCTCTATTTCTATCAGGCCACAGCAGAGATGGCTGTTCAACTCGAACCTGTCGTCGCTGCACTCTGGAGGCTCTGGGACCATTCGACTGTTCGAAGCTACGAAGGCGATAGACCACCTACAACTCTATCGACACATCACAGGTAGCTGTCGAAGCCCCCTTTGCCAGACGAGGGAGGTGGTCACTGACGACGCGTAAGATGCCGAGAAGCTAGAATCAGACGACCTGAACAGGTTCGAAAAGATTGTCTTTGGAGAGAGCGTCGAGATAGCGCCGTCATCAGACTCTGACCTGGCGTTCGCCCGAGCCTCACTATGGCTGCGGAACTGCATGGAAGGACATCCCGCCTGTCGGCCTAGCGACCCCAATTTCGCCCCCCGCCGACTTTTGAGCATTCATAACCCTTCGGCTGACCAAGTGACTCTCGTTGAGTCCTCCGGGATAGGTCCTTTGCAGTATGCGGCTTTGAGCTACTGCTGGGGCTCTGACCTAAGTGGGGTCAGGAAGACGGTGAAGTCGAACATGCCATCCCACGCTCACGGCATCCATGTATCGGAGTTGGCGCAGACAGTCCAAGACACCATCAAAGTCTGCGTCAAGCTGCAAGTCAAGTACCTCTGGGTCGACGCGCTGTGTATCGTCCAAGACGACGCCGCCGACTGGAACGTCGAATCCGCAAAGATGATGGACATCTACGCGAACTCCTTCTTCACCATCAACGCGAGAGCACCGAGCTCGTGCAAGATGGGGTTTCTCGGCCGGCAGCAGCTGGGAAACACGGGATGGCAGAGACCCATCTGCGCCCGCGTGCCGCCCGGCCTGGGTCCTTCTGGAGACCGCCTCTTTGTCAGGGATGGCGAGGTGGAGCAGTTCCAGGTCTTCTCCCTGGACTCCCGCGGCTGGTGTCTGCAGGAGAATATCCTCCCGCAACGGAGACTGGTCTTTGACGGCCGGGAAATGGCGTGGCACTGCCGCGAGAGGAACATGTGCGAGTGCGGCCATCTTGACGAGGACGTCGATGTCGGCGATGAGCCGCTGATGTCGGGCTCGATCGACGGACCGGCAAACCTCCTGGAACTCTCTCAGCTCCACTGGGAATGGCTGAAGCTTGTCGAGCTGTATTCGCGACGCTTCCTGACGAGATCTAGCGACAAGCTGGTCGCCTTGTCAGGCCTGGCGAGATTGTTCCAGCAGAGGTTCTCCCGCGCGAAGGTCTTGTCCCGGGACGAACATATCATTGCAGTATTTGACGAGAAGACGCTGGTAACATCGGATCCCCCCATGGCGCCCGGCCTACCCGCATCCTATTACGCGGGACTCTGGAGAGAAAGCTTCGTCCTCGGCCTTGCCTGGACAGTCGATTATCCCCTCCTGAACAAGACGGGTCATGCTGAGCACTCAAATCACAAGGAGTATTGTGCGCCGAGCTGGTCGTGGGCTTCGGTGGACGGACCCGTAGTCTTCCGGCACATGGAATTCACCGCTGGCAGGTACGAAGAGGGTGACAACCCGCAGTTGAGTTGCGACGTGAAGGTGAGGGGCATCGCGTGCATTCCGAGCAACGTCGCAAATCCCACAGGCGGAGTAATGGAGTCGGCGTCCGTGGTTGTCTCTGGTCTCTTGGTCCCGGTGGACCTGGCTACGCTTCACGTCAAGGATGACTCGGTGTTATGGAGCTATACGTGGTACAATCAAATGCAATCACCGGGAGATGGAAAGGGGAGATATAGAGTGACATCCTTCGCCCGCACGCGAAGGAAGCAGAGCTGGCGGGTGCTCCTGGACGTCGAGCAGCGTCCAACGATAGATGAGGGGAGCTCACATGCCTACTGCTGGACGTCCCCAATGCGGCCGAGGGGTGAATTGGATTGCTGCCCGTGGGACGAGAAAACGTATTATGCGTGCCTTCAGCTGTATACCTTCCAGAAGCAAAAGCTACACACGAGAGAGAAGAGACACAAATTGCATGGGGTGCAGGTGATTGTCGGGTTTCTGGTATTGAGGAGGGTGGCTGGCGCGAGGGACACTTATGAGAGGATCGGCTTTGGGATCTGGGACTCCTTCGACGGGTATCAGGAGAGAGCGGAGGTCTTCGAGCTGTTCTCTGATGCGAAGGTGGAGACGATCAAACTTGTCTAGAGATGTGAGTGCCTAGAGCCACTCTGAGACTACCATGTGATATCTACACGTGCTATTTTCCGCTCAAAGGATCAACAACTTCAGCGTCCACGACTAATAACATGAAGTCAAGGTTTGCAATTGATGAATAGATGTTGAAAGTCGATCAATTGATTAACTGGAAAAGCTGACGAGTCCAGGATGAATTCACAGAAACTATGTTCATGAAAGTACAAAACGCCTCTATTGCTCGAGTACACGCTCAGCCTAATTGAGGAGATGAACAAATGTGATAGAAAGCAAGGTTGCAGAACCAAAGAAGAAGCTATCGAACCACTGCTGGACTCTGAAAGAACCAGACGCAACCACCGTGCTCGGTTTGGAAGATACTGATGCGCCAGTAATTGACTCGGTCGAGGAGGGCGATAAGGGCTCCTCGCCAGAGCTGGGGCCGGAGCCGGGGACGAAGTCCGAGCCGCCCGGACTCGTGCCACCGACACCGGGACCCGCACCAGCAACGTCTGAGGAGCCTGCTACGGAGCTTTCTGGCTTTGATGAGCTGACAACCTGCGTGGGAATAGCTGTAGCAACAGAATGAATGTCGGCCGCACCAACTGAACCAACAGATACTGCGGGGTTGGCTGGAGAAACCACCGTATTGCCATGTGCATCCTTACTTTCAGACCCGTCTGAAGCGTTGCTCTGGTTTGCAGAAGTATCTGACCCGCTAGAACCGACTGCAGTTGCTGTTACGGCTGACACTGCAGATGCGATAGGTGATTGAGGTAGAACAATTGGCTTGCTGGGGTCCGATAAGTTGATTGGTGCCGGTGCCACCTCCACAGGAACCATGCTGGGCTGGGTTTGGCTCTCTTCGGGGTACAGCTTGCTTCCTTGGGGCTGTAAGTGGTTTCCTCCGGAACGATACTTTTCTTCGACAACGGACTGTTGAGTTCTGTATGGGCTCTCCGGAACGGTAAGCGTGACTAAACTCTCGCCTTTGGAGCCGCATCTATTGCAAGATGCCTCGATCGTAGTCATCGGGACGGTGGGCGTAACCTGCGTCGGGCAGCCGCAGTCTGGGAAATAAAGCGTCGAGCAAAGCTCGGTTCCCATGAGGGCTGTGGGATTTGCTGAGTCGATCGTAGTGTACGTTATCGTGCTTACAACAGAGGTTATGGGCATGTCGACACCGAGATTGCCAGTGCTCTCGCTCGCCATAGACGGCGAAATTCTGGACGTTGCAAGACCAAGAGTCGTGGGAAGAGGTACCAAGACATCGCTGTTCTCTCCAAACCCAGGAGCAGAAGCTGCGGTGGGTGATCCGACGTTGGACACAGTTTGTGAGCCGGCGAGCCCGCCGGAAGACGAAGGATCAAGTACATCGCCATCATCTCCAAGATCGGCTCCAGAACCTGCAGTCGGAGATCCCACACTGGGTACGGTTTGCGAGCCAGCAAGTCCGACTGAGGAGGAGGGGTTCAAAACGTCGACATCATCGCCTGGGGCAGGGATCACCGTGGTGGCGGGGGAGCTCGGTGCAGTTGTGGATGGTGTGGTGGCCCCTGCCAATGTTGTCGGGACGCCGTCAACAATGAACACGCTTGTGAAGGAGCTCGGTTGTGGAGGAACGGCAGGATCAAGGGTGTTTCCAATCGTTGTGAGCTGACCTGCAGGTGTGCCTCCGTTGGTAATAGGAGTGATATTCTCTGGTGCAGCAGAGCCAGGCAAAGTGATCGGCGTCGATGGCAAGACCGAGTCGCCTCCAACAGGAATGGTCGTTGTAGTTGTGCCAGGGGTCACGACAACTGAATCCACCCGTTCGTAAATGGTGAGAAGTACACTGCCAGGGACAGCTCGCTTGGAAACCTGTGGTCTGAAATGCCGCGCGCGCAGCCTGGTGATGTTTGTAGCCACACTTCCGCCGCATATCTGCTGAAGATCTCCTGGGCACGGTGTTCCACAACCCTCAGTGGGCACAAATGATGCCGACTCGAGAGAGTCTGAACCGTAACAGGTGCTGAAAGGGGATGAATGTTAGCTACACGAAGTCCTGGTGCTTGTAGAACTGTACTTACTCGAAGAAGACGCCAGCATATCTAAGACTTCCTGCCAATTCTATGCACCTTTGAGGGGTCATGGCGGCATCCCTGCCAACCTCATTGAAGGAGGGGTAGCCGGCTTGGGAGCCCAAGCAGCCCCGGAATACATGATTGTTGATGACAGGTACGTTGGAGAGTATGGAGACTGTGGGCTCAGCTGAAGGTAGCGTGCTTGTGGCAGCTGGCTGAGATGCTGGTCGAGGTGTCGTGCTCGCTGCCGAAGTTGAAGTAGCTGGTATGTTCACGAACGGGCTGGATGTCGCCGGGCTGGGCGTGGGTGTGGTGGTTTCGGGGGATGAACTAGGTCTGATGGTAAAAGAGATGGAGCTGCCTGAGGATTGTGCTGTTGAGCTCACCCCGGCTGGCGACGAAGCAATAATGTCCAGGTCTAAAGCCGCGGTAAGTGAGGATTGAGAGGTATCTGAGGTAGTGCCCCGGGGGGTTGGTGACGGCGTAGTCTGCGCTATGGGCAATGACGGTGCAGACTCTGTGGATGCTGTATTTACAGTGCTGGTTTCCGAACTGCTCGCCGTCACGTCAGCCGATGTTGTTGCTGTGCTGATGGACATTGCCGTTGTGCCAGGGGATGTTTCCGCACTTGATGGCTTAGTCGAAAGGGCCATAAAACTGCTCAAAATCGTCTCTAACGTTGTCCGGATTGTGTTGGTAGGGAATCCGGACGGTAAGAAGAATGACTCTGTAGTAGCAGTCACTGTTACCAATGGGAAAGATATTGTTGGGATGCTAGTCGTCGTAGCCTCTTCGAAAGAACTCGAGACCGAAGATTCCGTCGTCGTGGGCGAAGATTCAATTGTCAACCGGGTCAAAGAGGAAGTCGACGAGGGAGATTCGAGAGTTGACCATGAATCTGAAGTTGTCCCTGTCGATAGATCGCTGGTGGCGGACACCGTAGATGACGTGGTTGCCAAAAGCCCTGGCTCAGAGACAGTGGTTGCTGTAGTCGAGAATGCTTCTGTGAAGCTTTCTGTGGAGGTTTCCGATGTTGAGGGAAGCTCTGTCTCTGATACGGTGGCTGTCGTAGCCGAGGATGCTTCGGTGGATGTTGCCATTGTAGATGTCGCGTCCGAGTAGCCAGACACGGCAAAAAGTATCGCGGAGTCAATATAGGGATTTGCTGCATCACAAACATAGATGGATAAGTTGCCGGTACTCACTTGACGGCGACGTGAAACAGACGGGCTCCCTCCCGGCAAAGGGAAAACAATGGTTTGGGTAAGAGCTCGAGGGTATGAGAGGCCGAGGTCTGCACCATTGACGGAAAGATCTGTTGATAGGGCAGTAGTCTGGAAATAATCGCTTGATCCAAAATCCCAGAATACTCCGAACTCGTCAGGAACTCCACCAAGCAACCTGTTTACTGTCAGCGCAAAACGACGTGCTTGGCGGAGATCGCACAAACCTTTCGCCAGTAGCCAAAATGAGTGTTATTCTTAGCTCACTGATACCTTGAGCAAACGAAATATCCACGCTAAAATGTGAATAATCTCCGCATGAGCCAACACTCTGGGCAAAGGCCGTGCTTGGTACGCATTGGCTTTCCACTCTCTTCGCGCGTAGAGCGCTCTCTCGTGGGCATTGATATCCCGCCGGTGCATCTGCTACTTTTCCTGTGCTTTTAATAACTCCGGAAAGTCCGTTGGGACCGTCTGTGAAAGTCCCATAGCTAAGAGCTCCTGCTCTAGGCGTGCTGACAAAGGGATTTTGTACTTCCAGGCGACTATCTTGAATTGCCGCAGCTGCCAGTTCTTGAGCAGTTCCCCCAGGCCTAATTATGATACCTTCTGCTAGGCCCAAGAGCGATGCTAAAGCGCAGAGACTGGATGTGGACATCAGCATTGCAAATGTATCAGAGAGTTTCCAATGTGACTGAGTTGATGGGCACGATTAAAGTCTGGTGCACAATGTAGCTGAAGGATGCTATATGTATGTAAAATGCAGCATGTCCATTTATGGTATGAGAGGTCAACGCCCTCAAGTATTTTGTCATTCCAACTACATTTCCCGTTTCTATGATGTATCTTTTTCAACCCGTGCTGATTCAAGTCACGCCTGCAAGCTGTCTTGCAACTCTATCGCAAGGGGGGGTCGCTTTGAGCAGATATCAGTATCCAGAAGTCGAGCGGGTCACCGTGCGTGTCTTTCACGCAAAAACTGTGTTTCATTGGAGAGGGTATTTTGGCTTCAAGAATGGAGATTCCTTCCAATGGAATGCGTACCAACTGGTCGGGTCTGGAGGCACGAAGTCCATTTAGCTAATTTCTTTCCGCCTCACCGTCGACCAGTCAGGCGCTCTCGCATGCAGCATGACTGTTTATTGAGTTAAAATTCCATTGCCAATGTAATTTCTCTACTATATGCGGGTGTAGTTACGTGTTACGAAGTGTCATGGCAACGTTAGGGCTCTTGGGATACTGGGATGCATTCAAATAACGGTGCACTTGATGAGGTACTTTGCAGTCGTTGAGTAAGACCAAGCTCCGTGAGTAGGGTTAACGAAAGAGAGTGAATTTGGAGGTATGAAATCCACGGGCCGTGCCTGATAGGGTCAAGTTCGGCAACACCGATGCTAATGAGCTGCACATTCCGAAGCGGGTGACGCTTTCGAGTTCAGCTCTTGGCAGATCTCAGACAGGCCCTCTGGAATCAACGCCCTGCTTTTGAGGCAGTCTCAGACTTCAGGTGGCCAGCCGTCAGCCATGTGTCATGCCGTTTACCCAATACGTGGAAAACACGTTCCTTTCCCGAGCCTCAATGCTATCTGGGGTATCCACCATTGCAACCTTTGTCTTGACAGTGACCGGCATTGAATATCGTGGTTAAGGTCGTCATGATATTTCGTTTCTGTCGATGTGACATATTTTTAATAAACGTTTAGCACAGAAATAACTTTTGATTGAAGTCTCCCAATGGGGAATCGGGTGTGGCAACCGTGAATTCACAGTCACTAATTATACGGGCCTTGACGAATCCATGAGATCAACAGAGAGAACCTCGGTCCTCGAAAGTGTAAACAATCTGTAACAGGGTTTTCTTGAAGTAACTCAACTAATCCACCACCTCTCATGGTAACTCTGTAAATCAACATTCCCACTGAAGGCCTCCTTTTCGAGCCATGGCGTAGATCTACGTCAGTAGGCGCTTCGCCAGTTGCTGCCGCCACGTCTTTCTTCGTCCATCCATTCCCCAACCATCCAAACCTGTTTCGTTGAGGATTTTTGTACGTGTAGCTGAAATCTTCCCATCGAGGGTCTTTCCGGACCAAGTCCACATGCGCAGCACTGCCAGGCCATAACCCATGAATCCTGCCACCTTTGATCCCTCCGTTGTACCACGAACTGCATGACTCACTCATCACGGTACGAGGGAAGAAAGCTTCTGTGTAGGCTCGGAAGTCACGAGTCGCTTCAATTGTAGGTGCCATACTTCGGATGCCTTGCGTGGCAGCTTTGCGCAGTAATTTGGCGACATACGTAAGCTGGTTTTCCACAGCATGACACAAGGTACCTGCTGGGCCTGTGGCATTCGGTCCGAGTACTGTCAAGAAGTTAGGGAATTCTGGAGCGAGCATGCCGAGGTATGTGTCAGGGAACCCGGGTTTACCACCGGGCCGCCAAGCTTTCTGCAAATCGATCCCATTACACAAGACTGGGAATTGAGTGCTGAAAGTAATGTCATGCCCAGTACTACAGATGACAGCATCCACTTCTCGGTGAGTCCCTGCTGTCAGTGTCAGTAATTAGCACTCGTGTAATGAGACCGAAAATCATACCGTCAACCGTACGGATGCCCGTTTCTGTGAATTCTGCAATGTGGTCCCTGATGTACCTCACGTTGTCCGCCGTCAGCGCTTCCAGATACCCAGGTCCTGGTGTCAGCCGACGACAGCCAACGGAAAAGTCAGGGATGATCTCTTCTGCTAGCTCATCGCTTCCGGAAAGGCGAGCCTTCATCCGCTTGCGGATAGACTCTTCGGCAGCTGCGTTTTGCGGTCCATCTTTGAAGATGCCACCAAAGCGACTAAAGAGCTTTGCTTCCAGAGCTTTTCGGAATCTCAAGTACTTTTCTGGGCTCGTTCGCGCGTCTTCGATGTTGTCGGCGACAAAGTCTGCAAGATCTTCTCCTCCAATCGGCGCTGCCACCCACGTCTTGTTGCGAGCATAGTGGTCGATTCTCGATGCGACTTTCTGCAATTGCGGCAGCACCTGAAGTCCCGAAGCACCATTTCCAATAACGGCGATACGCTTGTCTTTCGGGTCGAAGTTTGGATCCCAAATTGAGGTATGTCTGAGGTGCCCCTTGAAGTCCTTGATGCCCGGATAATCTGGGAGCTTCGGGTCGCTGAAATGGCCTGTGGCGGTAATCAAGAAGTTGGCCTCGTCAACAAAATCTCCTTCATCTGAATGAATCTTAACAATCCACTTCGCCTTCTCTTCGGACCATTCTGCTGAGGTCACGGTATGGCTCGTACGGATGTACTTGCGCACCTCATACTGATCTGCGATGTGTTTCCAATAGGCAAAGATCTCAGGCCCAGTCGCGTACGCCTCCGTCCATGTCGTTGAGGGGGCGAATGTTGCCTGGTAAGCGTGGGCCGGAACATCGCATCGCATGCCTGGGTAAATATTGGTGTACCAAACACCTCCCTACTGCCTCATCAGTAACCAAAGCTCACTAGGGTGTTACCATGTTCATACAATATCTGAGTTTCTCTCGTAGACGACCAGGTCTAGATTGGGAACTTTCGCCGGCAGCAATATGCTGGCGATAATTCCACTTATGCCGCCTCCGACGACTATAGCTCGGATAGGTTCATACTCATCGATGGGATGTTCCTCGATCACAAAATGCGGATCGATGGGTTTCAAAACATTTGGATGCTCCCTCGAATCTGCTTTGTGGTCGTGATTGACCAGGTCAGCAATTGCAGTAGGGGCCATGTCGTTGGGAATTGAATGGATAAACCGTGGAGGACACTAGAGATGAATGTCTGCTTCAATGACACTGAAAGCCGAAACTTTCAGGCATAAAAGACAGTAAATCTTCAATCACGCAACGCCTCGCACTATTTGTAAATCGCCTGATAGGATTCTGCATGCATGAAACTAGAAGCACGTTGTTTCGAACGATGCTGGCGTGATAGAGATATTATCGTAATCGGGAACAGATCTGGAGCCGTAGATGGAGATGCTTAGCAATCTCTCGGAAATTCAAGATGTGGGAGAGATAAGAGGAGAGAAAGCTAGCGGAGCAACGTTGTCGTGATGGCTGAATTCTCCACCTGCCTGCTTCTGCATCGGAGTAATTGGCAGCATCTAGATGGTTCACCGGGGTTGCATGGAAGTATTTGGATAGCCGGTAGGCACTGAAAGTCACATTGGTCTTCTTCAGGCAGAACAGTGTCGTTTATGTGTGGCGCACGCCATTCTTGATTCCGGTTGCGAATCTGCAACCCCACTGTTGGGCTAATGTAAAGGATCGAGAAGTCTGGCAGCCTGCCGATTTCGGTCGCGTTTTCTTCAGGGAATGCGTGGTGGCACAAGCTGTAGAGCTGATCCATTTATCTAGCAACAATGGAGATGGCGGTGAGACGAATTATGCTTCTAAGCTTAACTTCACTTCAGTGTTCCTGTGTCGTTCAACGGAATCAATGCCCGTATCGGAAAAACGACGAATCATTCTCAATGCGTTTGACATGTTCACGCCCAGTCATCTGTGCTTCGGCCAGTGGCGCAGACCCGACGACACGGCTTCTGACAAGTTTAGTGATCTCAGCTACTGGACGAGTCTAGCACAAACGCTTGAGCGAGGAGACATCAACGCATTGATTCTCGCAGATACGTACGGCCAGCATGATATCTACAAAGGAAGCGCAGAGCCAACCATTAGAACATGCTGCCAGTACCCAATGGGAGACCCAGCTGTGGTGAGTATGGGGCGTCATGTACAAGAACCGCATTAACCAGTGGTAGCCAGTGACTGCAATGGCTGCAGTGACGAAGAACCTTGGGTTCATCATCACGACAAGCACGAGTTATGAGGCTCCGTTCGTAATCGCGAAGCGCTTCTCAACTCTAGATCACCTTACTAAAGGGCGCTTTGGATGGAACATCGTGACTTCGTTCAAAGAGTCGGCTGCAAAAGCAGTGAGTACCCATTTCAACACCACGCAGATTCTGTCCACCAACATTCATGTTAGGTTGGTTTGTCATACGTCGAGCATGATGAGCGGTACGCAGTTGCGGATGAATATGTTGAGCTTCTATACAAGTAAGTAGAAACGTTCCTGAAAGCAGGCACGACTAACGGAAAGTCAGAATATGGGAGGGCTCTTGGTCAGATGATGCTCTGAAAAGAGACAAATCGAACGAGATTTATGCAGATCCTGATGGTATTCGTTGGGTCAAACATCATACTTCGAGGTTCAACGTGGATGCGCCGCATATTTTGCACCCGTCCCCTCAGAGAACACCATTTCTTCTTCAGGCGGGAACATCCTCGTAAGTGATTTGCTCTCTGATATATCTCGACCGCCGTAGAAACTGACATCATACGAGCGCTGGAATTGCATTTGCTGCTAAGCATGCTGAGGCTATCATGGTATCAGGGCTCTCACCCCACATCCTGGCACCACGTGTGGCCGCCATCCGCGAGAAGGCAGCAGAGTTTGGCCGCGATCCTCGTAGCGTGAAGATATTTGCAGTAGTTACCCCAATCATCGGCCGAACCGATGAGGAGGCGATTGCCAAGTACGAAGAAGCGTTGAAATACGCAAGGTTCGAGCCAGGTCTTGCATTCTTCTCCGGCAATGCGGGCATAGACCTTTTCAAATATGATCTCGACGCGGAGATCAAGCCCGATGATGCCAAGATTGATGGTAGAGTGCACTCTCTCGTTAACAGTTTGAAGTACCGCGGTGACGACATTCCTACCTGGACACCCAGAAATATCGGAAAGGCAATGGCTATCGGCGGGAATGGGCCGGTGCCTATGGGGTCCGCATCACGGGTAGCTGATTTCCTTGAGGAATGGGTGAAAGTGGCAGATCTTGATGGCTTTAACGTTGGATACGTGACGAGTCCCGGGAGCTTTGAAGACGTCGTAGACCTGCTTGTCCCCGAACTCCGTCGAAGAGGTGTTTATGCACCACTGGGCGAAAGCGGCACCGTACGCGAAAGAGTTTACGGCACGGGGCAGAAACGGTTGCGGGATGACCACACTGGAAGTCGTTTCAAATATGGGAAATACACTGGCAATTGATAGCGGAGATAAAAGGGCACCGCCACTTTCAGCTGGCAATATGAAATTTGCAAAGAACGGCTTTAGATTAACCTATTCGTACCGAAGAAAGTATGGGTACAAGTGCGATATCGCGGATCACGTCTTGCAGTAGCCAATCCACTACCGTGCTTCAATGTCGCCATCATTCCCAAATTTGCATCAGCACTAAGAGCTCGGCCTTCTTCCGAAATGTCAATCAGTAAAGTGAATCGTGCCGACGGCTGTCAAATGATAACGCTGCACGGGGATTTGACCAGTTGCTTTTACTTTTGCCTTCCCAAAACACCATACTTGGGTCTTCAGACGTCAAAGTTATCTTTCGCGTTATTCTTCATGAGATGGAATCAGAAACGGCTTCCAAGGGAGACAGCGTTCAACAGCCAGAGGATTCACATGTCACCAGCACGAGATGGCAACGAGTTCAGGAAGTGATTTGGGATGGCCCTCGGTCAAAAGACGAGAAACGGCTTGTTCAAAGACTTGATCTGTTTGTCTTGTAAGTGTTTGTTCTATGGCTACAACGGGCCTTTTTTTTCTAACATCAACGTGACACAGAAGTTGGGCAACCTTCGGCTACTTTGTCAGACTACTCGATTCAAGCAACATAAGTGGGTCTATCCAGATCCTTACCTTGTTGAGCTCAAATCAACAACTCACGCTGTAGCCAATGCCTACGTTAGTGGCATGAAAGAAGATTTGAATTTCGAAGGCAACCAGTACAATCTTCTACAGACGTTCTTCACCTGCGGCTACTTGGTGGGCCAGGTCCCGTCTCAATTTCTTCTCACTCGCGGTATGTCTTGATGTAAGACTACTTGCGGTCATTCCATCTAATATGCTCAGTTCGACCCTCGATATATCTACCAATGGCTGAGCTTTTGTGGACTATTGTCACTTTTTGCTTCGCCTCGGTACGAAGCGTGCGCCAAGTCTTTGCCTTGCGGTTTCTACTGGGCCTGCTAGAAAGTCCTTTCGCAATCGGTGTTTTGACCATCATGGGCAGTTGGTATACACCCAGAGGTGATTATTGCCAGTGCAACTAAGAGACTGTCACTAATATTCCCAAGAACTTTCTAAACGCATATCAATCTTCTACTCGGCCAGCTACGCTGCTAGCATGTTCAGTGGATATCTTCAAGCTGCTATCTACAAAGGCCTAGACGGTGCAAGCGGCTTGCCTGGTTGGCGTTGGCTTTTCGTATTCTGCGGCTTCATCTCCATATGGGCACCACTTTGGGGCTTCTTCGCCGTGCCGGACAACCCGTTCATCACGAAGGCTCGATGGATGCGGCAAGGAGAACAAGAGAAGCATATACGCCGCATGGAGGCGGTAGACCGGCGAAAGCCAGAACCATTGACCAAGTCGAGAGTCTGGCAGATATTTACTGATTGGCCCCTCTACGTCTTTAGCTTTACGTTGATGTAAGACTCTTTCCTTGGAACACCCAGCAGTAAACTAACTGAGACAAGATGTCATTGTGTGGTAACGCAGCCACTCAACTACTTCTCCGTGTGGCTTAAATCTTTAGACCGTTTCACAGTCTACCAGATCAACCTTTTCCCTACAGCTGCGCAGGCCGTTGGGTTGGTCACCACATTGCTTTATGCATGGCTTTCTGATAGGTTAGAGAAACGATGGCAAGTCCTGCTCATACCAGCAGTAAGTATCACAAGTCATAGTCAGTATCCGCGTTTTCACTGAATTTATTAGATCATCAATTTGATCGGTATGATCATGGTCGCTGTTGGGTCAACCTACGCGCTGACATTCGCTGGGTATCTCATCAACGCGGCTTCTTGGGGCTTTTGGCCGGTACTTTACGTACGTCTCTTGCCCATTTTGCATTCATCATGCTGAATCGTTATAGGCATGGTCCATTGAGATCATGCACAAGAACATGGAGGAGCGAGCGGTAGTCATTGGAATTGCTCAGACCCTTGGTCAAGCTTTCATCGCGTGGGTCCCAGGTTCGTCATCCCCGATGCTCTCGTATGTGAATGGTCGTGTTGAATCGTAGCGTATCAGTGGTTGTTCTCGACGTTGGGAAATATGCTCCTTCGTTCCACATGGGATTCTCCATCATGTGCGGCGTAAGCGTCCTGGAGCTCTCAAGCATCTTTCTGATCAAGCACTTTGAAGAACGTGAGAAGGCTAAGGAGGAAAGGGCAATATCGGCTGTGTAATCCTATGAGATTAGTCACTGAATACGGTCTGCATTGTAACCGTTCTGGATATTGAGATGCACGTTGATCCGTGTTATTCAACGTATTGTCAAGCATTCCTGCGATTGCGAATGTTCATCGGCAAAGCGGCATTCAATCATGGACGTAAATGTGGGCCAATCACCAGATGCTGTGTTAGCGGTCCAATCAGTAGTCAAACTTCTCAACTTAAATAGCAGTGACTATCATTATCCTTGGGCGTCGATCTCGTATTCATTCACCTCGTGAAATCTCATTACTACCTTCCAAAGATGGAAAGCTGGAATTCAAGAGTTAAAGGAAACTCTTTTCGCTCGAAAAACAAGCTTTGAGCTCAGGTAGTCCTAGCGATTCGTGGCTGCATTCGTCAACGCATCTGCAGAGCATTCTTTCCCACTTCTCCGGAGCGTCCGATTCTTTGAAGCCCGCAAACCGCCATGGGTAAGCTCCTTCACTTGCTGCTGCTGCCAGTGCTGGCAGCTCTTGCAGCCGCAGCCGACCGGCCACCGTCTGCTGCCTCCAGCTTCAAGAGTAGAGTTCACTACTTTGAAAATGCAAGGGCAGCAGCCGGACAACGACAGGCGGCATTTGTCGACCGAGCCTCCAATGCGCCGCGCTCAACTTCTTACCTCACAAACAAGACAATGCCTTTCGCCGTGAGCGGAACCGGAGTACCGCTCGTTGACTGGGATGTTGGCGAGTCGTACGCAGGACTTTTGCCGATTTCGCAAAATGCGAGCGAGACGCGCAAGCTCTTCTTTTGGTTCTTTCCGTCAGAGAACCCCTCTGCCACCGACGAGATAGCAGTCTGGTTCACTGGAGGACCGGGTTGTTCTTCGATGTTGGGCCTGCTGCAAGAGAACGGACCTATTCTCTGGGAGTCTGGAACATACGGGCCTACGAAGAATCCTTACGCTTGGAACAAGCTCACCAATTTTGTCTGGATTGACCAACCTGTCAAGACCGGATATTCTACGGGTGAGCCAGATATTCTGAATGAGGATGATCTCGTCAGAGAGTTCAAGGGCTTCTGGAGGAACTTTGTGGACACGTTTGACCTTCATGATCGAAAGATCTACTTGGTGAGTAGACTCATGGTTACATCCAATATGGTCTTGAAGTGCTTTTCTGACCAGGCCAGACGGGTGAATCGTATGCCGGATTCTACGTCCCCTACATCAGCGATGGTTTTCTCAAAGAGAATGACACGGAATATTTCAACATTAAAGGGATTGCCATCAACGACCCTTTCATTGGTAATGCTCAGTTCCAGCAGGAGATAATCCTTCCAGATTTTATCGAATACTGGAATAATGTTTTGGGCCTCAACGACACCTTCATGTCGAGCCTGCGTTCCCAGAAGGAACAGTGTGGCTATGCCGACTATCTGAACAAGCATCTCGCTTTCCCACCTCCACCCAGGCCATGGGACGCGGTGCCCTCAGACTGCGGCGTCTACTTTGACTTTATCGACGCTGTTATGGAGGTCAATCCTTGTTTCAATGTCTACCACATCACTGATATGTGCCCGTTCCCTTACCAGCCTCTGGGTGTAATCAATGGTGGAGACTACGTGCCGCCCTCGGCCCCAGAGTCCTATTTCAACCGTGCGGACGTCAAGAAAGCCCTCAACGTTCCCGACGCAGCCTATTGGTGGGCGTGCTCGCTCAGTGGTGGCTTCCTCGGCGATGACCGTTCACCTGGGCCGGCTGTCGACGATACGCTTACACGAGTGATTGATGGGCTTAACAACACGATCATCGGCTCTGGGGCACTCGACTTCATCCTTCCGACTAATGGAACGTTGTTGGCGCTGCAAAACATCACGTGGAATGGTGCTCAAGGGTTCCAACAGAAACCCTCGACACCATTCTTTGTGCCATATCACGCTGAGCAGAACAGAGGCGCAATGGCTGGGGCGGGAACACTTGGTGTCTGGGGTTATGAGCGAGGAGTGACGTTCTATGAAATACAACTGGCCGGTCATGAGCTTCCCGGTTGGTCTGCAGGAAGTGGCTATCGAAGCCTGGAGCTACTTCTTGGGCGCATCAAGGATTTTAGTGACACGACTTCGCTGGTTCTTTGAGCAGGGTTGATGGAGGCATGCGGCAGAAACCATGATTTCAAAGAGTGTTGGCCCAAGGGTGGATTGTATGGTTTGCGGAAACCTTTGTCTAAGTCCTTGCAGAACGCTCGAAACCGTCCGGCATGCGTTGAAAATCATGCTGCCTAATTTCATGATGATGGTACATGATTTGTGTTTTGCACTGAGCTGGCATGTTATGGCAGCACGATGAAAACGTACGATCTGAAATTGAGGACTAAACATCGACTGAGCCTAAAGAGGAGCAGCCGCCACGAGTAATGCCTGGCAGCATGAAGTCTGAAATCTTGTAAATTTGGTCCAATCGGTTGCCTACCCATCAATGCCAACAGCCAGCTCGGCAGAAGTGCCTCCTAACCTCGCCGTCTGACATCAGACACGGCGTCTGAGTCACTCCCCGTCAGCGCTCGGATTCTACGCCAGTAAATTTGACACCCAGCTAAGCGTCTACACAGACGCTTTCAGGACACATTCCACCCGGAAAGCCTTTCGACGTGTTGAAGGATGAGGCGGTAAACAGGTCAGGAATTAAACTGCGGTAAGCGATGGCGAAGGTGGGAATGGGAGGCCTTTATTCTCTTCGTAATTGTGTCCAACCAACAATTATTACCCTCGCGCAATGAACCGCCAAGGACACTAGGACATCTCCGAGTACAGTTTGCTAGGGGGCGAAGCAAACACCAACAGAGCCGCCCGCCACTGGGTCCCGGGTCCCAGACGTACGGGACTCACGCGACCCGACAGGCATCCGCTGCGCCCCGTCGCCCCTGAGAATGCCTAAGAGAATGCCTTTACCGCCCGGTGCCGACTCTCCGGTCCGAGGCCTCGGCGTCTCATTTCACCCCACAAACAACACTCTTCGGCGAGACGCCTTGACACATTAGTTCCAACACTGCCTGGTTAATTGCTCCATTTCGCGAAAGGAAGCAAACTTGTGAAAGGATTTTGCCAGTTTATGAGGGCGTTTGCCTCTAGGCAGCAAACAGTGTATTACTTCAGATGAGAGTAGCAGCGCGGTCTAATTGGCTGATCACCAGAGGCTGCGCTGGACGCCAGGGATTGGTCACGGCAATGTTTTGGCCTCTATTGCGGCCGAATCCAGCCAAAGGCGTCAGCCTAGACGGTCTTACCGCATCAGCCCCTCATCACAGGACATGGACCAGTGAATATGCGCGAGGCCAACTTGGAAACATCAAGTCGCCGGTGATTCACTCCCCGTGATTAACGGTTTGATATATGTGTGACCCGAAAACTTGCATTTTCGTTGTCTCTACACTCTTTCCTCATTGCAACCCAGCCAAAATCAACATATCCGGTGGCTTGAGACATACTCGCGATGGTTGGTCCCCCTGTCAATACGACGACGATATCCCCTGCTGACATGCCTCAGGTCAAAAAGTGGTTGTTCGGAAGCCCTTCCAAGGGCAGCTCGCCTCCGGTCTCCCGTACCGACTCAATCAGGTCAACCTTCTCGGCGTGGACGACAACTAGCACTATGCAGGCAGACACAGAGGAGCCAACCTCCTCCGACGAAGTCGCCCTCTCCATCCATCCCCTCTCCACGAAAGACGGGCTTATCGCCAAGATAACTCCCCCGGAAGCACCTTCTAAGTCTATTGATCATGTGCCTTGCGACATCGTTCTGGTCATTGATGTATCGGGAAGCATGGGCTGCAATGCCCCTGTCCCCGCTAACCCGGGAGAAAAGACCGAAAACTACGGACTGTCGGTCCTGGACTTGGTCAAGCATGCCGCTCGCACAATTCTGGAGACGATGGACGAGACCGACAGACTTGGCATCATTACCTTTGCCTCCAAAGCCAAGGTTGTTCAGAAACTGATGCCTATGAATAAGAAGAACAAGACACTGGCCGAAAAGAACATTAACGGTATGAGGCCAATTGACGCCACTAACCTCTGGCATGGACTTCTCGAGGGTATCAAGTTGTTCAGGGAGGGTGGTGAGGTCAACACTGGCAGGGTTCCTGCCATCATGGTACTGACGGACGGCATGCCCAATCACATGTGCCCGGTGCAAGGATACGTTCCGAAGCTGCGTGGCATGGAGCAGCTTCCTGCCTCAGTTCATACGTTCGGCTTCGGATACTCTCTGAGGTCTGGCTTGTTGAAGTCCATCGCCGAGATTGGCGGTGGCAACTACTCCTTCATTCCGGATGCCGGCATGATTGTAAGTCAATATGCTTCCCACTCTTGCCCTCGGCCGCGCTAACAAATTCCAGGGAACTGTTTTCGTCCACGCAGTCGCCAATCTCCAGGCAACATATGCTATCAACGCAACCCTACGGCTCACTTTCCCAGCAGTAATCGACCTCGAGGAAACAACGGGAGACTCGGTCGACAAGCAAGAAGTCCTCAACCTGCCCGACGAAAACGACGAGCCAAAACAGCTTTCCATCTCTCTCGGAAACCTGCAATTCGGCCAGTCGCGGGACATCTATTTGCGCATCAAAACTCCAGAAGGCTCTATTCAAGAAGAATCCAGCGTCATTGCCTCACTTGAATACTCCCGCATGACAAGTGCTCTCTACAGAAAGACGACTGAACAATCTCTCTCAAATCCCACCACTCTCCCAGAGTCCGAGATCGCATATCATCTTTCCCGCTCTCAGATTTGTTCCTACCTGTCATCGATCATACCCCTGAGAGAAGACGGCGAACACGAGGCGCTGAGCGACATCTCACCACAGAAAATTGAAACACTCGAGGCTCTCATCAAAGACCTCCCAGCACAAAAGTTCCCCAATGACCCGAAAAACAAGTCTTTGATCGAGGATCTGTCAGGCGACCAACCAAAGGGCCAAATTTCCCTCGCTCTCAAGAACCCAGAATACTACACGAAATGGGGTGTGCATTATTTGCCCTCTCTTTTAAACGCCCACACCAGGCAGATTTGCAATACCTTCAAGGATCCCGGACCGCTTCAGTACGGTGGCGACAGTTCTCTGTTCATCGCATGCAGGGATAGACTTGACAACGCGTTTGATAACCTCCCCGCGCCAACGCCATCAAATCATATGGTTGCAACCCACCGAGGACGTATCAAGATGAGTTCCTACAATACTTCTTCAGGAGTATGTTTCATCGCTTCCACTCCAGTTGTCCTGGCCTCGGGCCGTAAGGTTCCCATCAAGACTCTAAGAAGAGGTGTGGCGGTTCAGACGCCGTCTGGTCCCAGGCGTGTAGTGGCCGTTCTGAAGACGCCTGTCCACAGGGAAATCATGTGTCGTGTCGGTGATCTCGTTGTCACGCCGTGGCACCCTGTTTCCATGGACAGCGGGAAGAGCTGGGTTTTCCCTGCCAACGTGGCGCTGAGACCTGTGAGATACACTGGATGCATCTACTCGGCTCTTCTCCAACCAGATCAGGATGCAAGTGCGCATGCCGTGAATGTTGCGGGCATTTGGGGTGTTACTTTGGGTCACGGGCTTGTGACGGGACGGGATGTGCGTGCTCATCAGTTTTTTGGAGACTACGGCAAGGTTGTGAGGAGTTTGAGAAGGATAGGTGTTAAAAGAAGTGGTGTTGCTACTGGAGGAGGAGTGCGTAGGGATCTGAGGAACGGACTGGTTCGTGGGTTTAAGCCAGCAAGAAGGGTTGTGGTACGGAAGGATGGCAAGGCTATGAGCAAGTAAGCTGTACGCGCTGCAATCGCTTAGTTTAGTAATGATATTGGACAAAGTCGTTGACTGTCTTGGTACGCACAATCTGTGTTCACGTCTGCATCCACATAATGTTGTAGCAAGCAATGCACCTTCGGCCAGCTGTGCCTTTTCTAGTGATCAGGCTTCATTCCCTTGGGCGGGGAATAAATTGCAGTGAATGTCGGGATGATGCCACACTCACCGCCCAGCATGGATGCGGCAGAATCCAGCTAATGAGAGGGCAGAGATCTCTCCAGCTCTCAACGCCATATCACTGCCCTCACAGCTACATCTATAACTTCAATATACCATGCAATTTCACCCATATTTTATAACCCCTCATATTGACTAGTCAAAAGGCATCACCAGTACCTGTACCAACACTGAACATACGCGAGCTATTTCAGGTGCTCCCTATTGGTTCGTTAACACTCCTCTTCCACAGCTACCATTTGCCCAGTGCCAAACCTCTAGTCATCTGATTTGTCTTGAGAGCCAGGCACTGATCACTGAATCAATAGGAGTTTCTGGCTCCGTCGGACTGGTTCATTTGATGAAGGACTGCGGCACGGAAAGATGGCAAGGTACTGAGCAAGTAGTGGAGGTGCAGCGTGTTTGGGGGTGTAAAATTTGATGTAACGGAGCAAATGGCCATTTCGACCTCAGTAATAATTTTCATGTTCGGATGCAATGGCACAAGGTAGCAAGTGAAGCACATCTTGAGTACTCAATTACCTGTTGCAGTGACAAAGGCATCATACAACCGTGGATATGTGTCCTATGCCGCGATTTACCAGGCGCTTGCTTGGTCCCCGGAAGCTCTCCATCCTCTCGAGGGGTGAATAAATTACAGTGCAGGTGATAATGCAGCCCTACATCTGCGAACCTTAACTCAGTCAACATGCACGATGCAGACTTCTATTGGGGAGCTCCGCACAGCGCCACAGCCCTATGGAATGATGGTCTTATTTTCTCCGGGGCCCAAATTGATATAGAGTGTACTCAACACCGGATGGATATTCCTGAGTTGCGTATAAGAGAGTCTTGTCACTGCATGATACGCTTAAGAGAGCCACCCTCACGTCTTATTACATTTCACCCAGTTGAGGGTGCCCCTAAGTCACTCTCTTAGCTGCGGACCTCCCCTAGGGGAATGTTCATTCCGTGCCTTCCCTTGTAAGGCGAAACCTCCGCAGGCTTCCATCCGCCACGCTGTAGTAATCCCTCGTCCTCAATCTTGAATACTTCAACTTTGAGCGGCCTGCAGCATTTGATCATCTCCTCCTCACTATCCTCGCCGAAACCCCACAGCGACAAGTCACCTCCAGGGCAAGTACCTATTCAGCCAGTGTTAGCCCAGCTCGCACTTTAAGTGTTCAGAAGGAGTTGCTCACTCAAAGCCATGAGGACATCCTGCTCAGCCAGGAATTCAATGTAGTCCCCAGGCCCCGCCGGGCAGGGGTTCATGAAGTACCGTCCCTGCTCATCCAGGCCCGTTGACTGGAAGATGTTGATAACATCATGAACATCGCTCTCATTAAGTCCGTATGGAATCACAGCACGAGTGAGGTTCGAATGGCACTGGAAATCGTAGCTTCCTCCGCTAAGGATGCTGTTGATATACGGGTCACATCGCGTGCCGAGCAAGTCGTGCACACGTCCGCCATGCTCATCCTTGCCGTACCACGCCAGTGTATCCGCGATGATAGTCACCAGGGGCCTGATGTATGGCAAGTTGGACCACAGACGGTCTCCAACAGAGACGTGACTTGCGTGCAGCTGACGAGTGCGAGAGGCCCAGAACCGTTCGCGGGGGTTGTGGGCGTTCCAAATGTTCAGGTCGCATGTGTCATGTCAGCTTGGACTTCGACTGGGTAGTATTGCTCAACTAGTCGACACCAGTCGCACTCGGTGCTCAGGGATCGGGCATTCGCCCAAACTTACCAACTTGAGGTCCTTCGGGTGTGCTGATTCTCACAATCGAACCAGCGGGCGCCTTCCACGCCTTGCCGGAACGAATAGGCAAGGTAAACTCCTCCACCAAAACTCTAGGAGCCTTCTGCGCCGACTCGTAAAGCACCTTGTCGACAGTAAGTGGTGATCCGGCCGTGGCGAGATAAGCCGGGACGGGCTTCGGGATCGGCTTGCGGTCCTTGAGCCGCTGGGCGGGGTCGATATCGGCAACAGACATTTTCCAGACGAAACGTAAATAAAATGATGGAAAATCGGTAAAGGAATCAAGAAAATCATCCAGGAGGACTCCGACTTTAAGAACATGAACGGCAGGCGTCGATGATAAACCCCGCAGAGGCCCTTACGTAAAGGCCGAGATTCGTGATCCGAAGCCGCTAGCCCACCATCTCCACAGCATGACTCCGGTGTTTAGCGCACGGAAGGAGACTCCGAACGGTGTCGGAGTCTCTTGCCCAGGCACTGGAGCACTAAGGTTTAGCGGTTCCCTGCAAAGCTGCGAAGTCATCTAAGCAACAAATACTAGGACTAAACCAACACAACAGCAGCCGTACGAATTTAAGCACACAGAGGCAAGCAAACAGTTAAAATGACACGAGCATGCGAAAATATCATTACGCACATTCCTTTATTACACACCAATGCATCAACTACCAGACTTAAACGCGCGTAAGGTCGTTGAAACGTAAAAGTAAAAAGTCCAAAAAGAAACGTCGGCCGATGGAGATACTCCAGGCTGTGATGCCTCGTGGGCGAATCGAACGCCCGATCTCCTCATTACTAGTGAGGCGCTATACCACTTAGCCAACAAGGCTTGCTCGGAGTGGCGAGATGACATCCTAAGGACTCCAGAGGATGAGGCTGCTGCATGGATAGTGCGGTTGGCCACGAATGGGACCCATCCCCGATGAGCAACATCATGGCGAATCTCCAGAGAGGCCATGATAAGAAGCTGCCCGCTTGGAAATGGACATGTCTCTAAAGACTGCTATTAGTGTGCGGCTTCGCTGGTCTGGGCTGTTGAGTTCGGCTTAATTCCGGCGACGTATCGGAGACTTGAGAGGGAACTGGCGCAATACTCTTTAAACCCCAGCTACCGTGTGAAAGACAAATTGCGAATGGAACCGAGCCACTGAGCTGAAGTGACCCTCTCCCAGACCTGTCCATCAACGCCGCTATGCCATCCTCCGGCGCCACTCTACTCGATATCTCTCACCATCCAGATAGATCCCTTCTCGGCAGTCGGCCAGACCCGAAACCCCATCTTCTCGTAAAACTTGACAACCTTCTCATTCTCTCCACCAACGCCAATGTGCCATCCCTTGCCGTACAACCTCCCATCTCCACCCTTGACCTTATCAGCCTCTCTCAGACTCTCCTCAAACTTGCCAATCAGCTTCCTCCCCCATCCCTTGCCTTGGTAGTCCTCAAGCAGGTCGATGTGCATCGTGCCCTTCCACTCTCCCCACAGGTTCTTCCTCTCATCGTCCAGCACAAGCCACGTCGGATTCCAAGCCTGCTGCAGCAAAGCCTCCTCGTTCACCTCTCCCGAGGGCAGATTCCATGGCGCTTTAGTCTCAAGACTCTGGGGTCGCCTACCAGCCAGCTCCGGTGACGTTTCGAGCACTTCCTTGACGTAGCGATCATACGCGGCCGCGAAGTCGTTGACGTTGGGGCAGCCGATGCAGTACCCCACCACGCGACCGTTGCCGTCGTCAAGGACGTGGCAGGTCGAGGGCGAGAGGAGCGTATACTGGTGCGTCCAGAGAAACGGCGCCATCCGAGTGCCTACCTCGGATTTGTCGAGGGACGGAGGCAGGGTTGCACGGCACTGCGAGCAAGGTTAGCAGGGCTTGCGGATGTGAGATGGCGGGTGCGTACGATGTGTGCCGTGTCCTCGAAATCGGAGGGTTTGTAGTTGCGGATGAAGGCCATGGTGACGGAATCGTTTGTTGGCGTGCGTTGAAAAGAGGACTCGACGTTATTGTTGGGCCTCAGAGCGCTTTAGCCAGCAGGTGTGATACGTCACGGGCGAGCGGGGTTCTCTCTGACGATGGTGAGTACGTAATGTCAACTCGAAACGAACTGATGCTACTATTTCAGCCAGATGTGAGAGATGGTCGTGATGTTCGACTGGATTCGGTAGAAGGGCAGGAGGACTCGCTATCAGCTGATGCTTACGGAAGGTTCGACGCCCGGTCATGGGGCCGTTTTAAGTAGCGCCCGGCCGGCATTCCGGGCCGATGCGGATTCCCCCGCATCGCACTGCAGAGTTGCGCTGAAGACTGCTACTTTCCATCTCATCTCACCCAAGGCCACCACGCAGCAATCATGCATGAAAGGACTTTGAAATTTCAGTAATACTCTGTGAATAGAAAACAAAACCACATCCGCTCCATTGGCACCAGCCACGTCGCTTGCTTGCTCCAGATCCAACAACATCTCCATCCATTACTTGGGAACGCAGACGCACGACGCTGCATTGTTCCCGGTACACGCGCTGCCCCCGCGTTTCTGGAGATTCAAGCGTCAGTACGATGGCTCATGAAGTCTGTAGAAGCTGAACTCACCTTGCCTTGCTTCCCGCAAAGGTCGTTACAAATAGCGACAGAATCGCAACCCTCTCGCGGTGTTTGCGGAAGTGCGCTCGCGACGCAGGCAAAAGTGACGAAAAGCATTGAGAGTGAGAGTACCTTCATGTTTGCGGCTCGTGGAATGTTACTTAAGCGAAGTATTTGGACAAGGGCTCAATGAAGATTCTTTGTGCGGCTGTGGTATTAGTTTGCTTTCGCGGGAGGTGAAGAGGTGCTGGAGGGCGCGTCTTTATACCGTTAAACAAGCCCGTCGGGCCCTTTTCCGACGAGCAAATTATCGAGTTCTGCGTATTTACTGAGACCTATATCTCGAATGCCATACCGAATAGCCTTTGAAGCTCATGGTCCCAAGTTTCAGACGACATCACTCGAGTCATATCCACCACCTGGCAAAAGCGGACGATCCTGCCACATCCGGGGGTTATTTCCCCCGCGAGTCCGCCTGAGACGTGATAAAGTTCGTCCAAACATCACAGAAGCTTTCCCACTCGCGCTCGTCAGGCCAGACTGTCGGGTTACTCCCGCTCAAATCTCCATGACAGACATGCCCCCGTGCTATGATATAAGAAAGGCCACCCTGTTTGAAGATGTCTCCGTGGATGTGTCATGTTTCACCGCGCAGCGAGGCCTCTCTCCATACGTCGTTTCCTGAAACTCGATCATGGACACGGAGATTTCGGAAAATATCTTGTCCTGGAAATGCAATCCCGAGACTGGAGGCCACGGAAGATTCAAGGACGGCGCCCTGATTCAACCGCGGACTTTTGACCTGCGGCACTCATCTCGGGTCTTGATTCTGTCATATGGCGATTTCATGTCTTGCCCCCAAGTCCGAAAGCGCACGTTGGTGGGTAGCAAGCTCAATGGCGGACTGAAAACAGACTGGGTAAAGCTGGACCTAACAACAGCTCTAGTTAACTAGACCAGCTTAGACGTTGCCATCCTCACATCAAAGTTATCATAGTCATACTCACATCATGTCTATTACTCATACACTGAGTGACTCCTCCTCTATCAAAACTCCATGCCTCTCTTTGCAAAACCCCAACCTCTGTTCTACTTTCCTCTTTTTTCTTCCCCGAACTCTTTTTCTACAGGCGCTTGCCGCTTCACTTATTCCGTACTTCTTATCTACGTGCCATCCTGGACTCGATAAGAGACGTCAGTCCCATCCATTCACTAAGAACCCACACACAACAATCAAACCCCGTTTTTCATCCCAGCCAGATCGAACGCACACTTCGCGATGCTGCGTAGGCCTCTCCGTCGCCACCCGCCCCAACAAGTGGGTCATCACCCACCACATCAAGCCCTGATGGTCTAGCGGTATGATTCTCCCTTAGGGTTGTCTCCACGACATCTCATATCTGGGAGAGGTCCCAGGTTCGATCCCTGGTTAGGGCCCACTTCTTTTGCAGATTGCACCAAGTCACAACAATGTTTGATTTTTTGTTCGTGTTTTCTTGCGCCTACTTTGCTTTCTTTCTTAGCTACTAAGCTATCTGGAATGCATTAAATAGCAGCTTATAATGGAGAGCTAAGTAGTAGATAGAGTGTAGGACAGACAGCCTTTAGTGCTTTACTGCGACTTTAATCTATCTAGAGGGGACAGGTATTGCGGCGGGGTTGCATGGGGTTTGTCTGTCTGGCCTTGCTCGAGAAAGAGAGTACGTGTCAGTACCAATCATCATCAATATGGCCACGAGAGATATGTCGGCGATCCATCCGGAGCATCAAGGACCGGCGAGGTTGTGGGCTGACAGTAACAAGAGAAACAAACACTGCAGTTGTCAAATACGAATGTTCACAGGAAGAAACGATGTCAAGCCCAAACCCTCCACATCTTTCCCCGTCAGAGTCATACGGCAGTCAACAAGGTGCGCCTCCAGGCGGCAAACTGCGGCAGAAAAGTTAGAAGGGAAAAAGGTGAAGCCCAAATGATTTGATTTTTCCCACGGTACGCTACCTGGTACGTGGTATATCGGCCTAACGTACCCCATCCTTAATACAGTATAGAAACACTCTGGTATACTCCAAATTGAAACGACCATGCACCCATCTTCCAAAATATTGAGATCCTGCACGCGGCAGACGCCAGGCCCACCTCCGAGACGCACTCCATTTACCGCGAAACCCAGGACCCCGCCTAATTAAGATCTCTCCAGGAGTCAAGATCCAATAAGTCGCTCACCCACACGAGGGCGGCGAGTGAGAAGGAGTGTAAGAATAAGAAATATACAATAGAGACCACACCATTGTGCGGTGATCATGTAGTGGGAAATAGAAAGTAAAACAGTATAGAAAGGGTTTTCATAGATTCGTCATGACCATTTTCTCCCCCGTCCCCTTTTCCAGCTATCCGTGCGATAATGGGAGTAGATTAGAATCGAAATAGAAATATTGTAACCAACTGAAATGTCTCAGATCATGCCGCCCGGCATGGAGCTGTTGTTAACGCCGCCGGGAATAGCCGTTGGAGGACTGTTGCCCCGGTTCATGCGAGCACGCATGTTCATGCCGTTTGCCTCGCTGATGGTCTTACGTAGTCGGCGTCGCTGGCCCCCTTGGGCATCCTCATCGTCGCTGATGGAGAAGGCGCTGTTGCCGTCACCATTGGGGTCGCTAGCCATTGGTGGCGGCGGCGCCAGAGGGAGATGAGGAGAGCTGGCGCCCATATCCTCCTCGCCCCTGCGGCCAATGATGGAGCCAATCATGTTCCGGCGCTTGGGGTTGATCGGAGGCACTGGTGGAGGGTTGATGTTGGCATGAGCGTGAAGATTGGGCGTGGATGCGGCGGCACCCAAGATGCTTCCCGACCGCGATCGGGAACCGCTCCTCGAGCGGGACTCTGACGTCTCAGGAAGAGCAACAGTAGGGACCCGAGAAGTAGACGATACAAAAGTGGGCTCAGAGATGTCCTTCTTCTTGACAACTCGCTTCATCGACTCATCAAGGCGGGTGACGGGAGCATTCTCCGCCGCAGGAGACGGAAGCGGAGGAGCAGACGGCCGGCGAGGCGGGGGGCTGAAGGTAGGCGTGGACTGACTAACAGGAATCTGAGGCGAAGGCATGGGTGCCATTGGAGACACCGGGGATGGTTGGCCGGAGTCGGGTCCTCTGCGACGATACTGAACAGCGAGATTGCCCTGGGATGCAGATCGATCGAGGGCCTTTGGGGCAGCAGCAGCTCCAGGGTACGGCTGGGGAGGCATATGCGGCGACCGGCGGATGTTGGTACCGGGCAAACCGGGAGACGGCATCAGCGGCCGAGAAGGCGGGGGTCCATTAGGACTGAGTCCTGCTTGCCGGTCCTCATACGGTGACGAGACGGTGCGAAGTCTGGCAGGGCGCTGAGCTCTCTCACCGTTGCTCGCCTCGGAACCGCTACGATCCCGCTCCGTGCGTGACGGAGGGCGTGATCCGCCACGCCCAGGTCCTGCACCAGGTTGGGGCTCTTCGCTTGGCGTCCGCTGGTAAGTCACGGGAGGAGGACGGCGTTCGCGCGACGGAGAGCGAGTGCCCGGGGTGCGGTCTCGGCTTGGTGCCGTCCGTGATGCCGGGGGTCCTACCATGGCACCAATCGTAGAGCCGCCCAGAGCGCCAGGCAGAATGGGCATTGTGCCGGATGTCGGGCTACGCTGAGCCTCCAAGAGCTGCTTGCGAGCCTGTCTAAAAGCCCGCAACCCAGCGTGCATTGAATCATCTTCCTTGGGTTGCTCCTGTTGGGGTTGAGCGGGTGCCGTCTCAGCTCTGGCAATTTCAGGCCTCTCGCGCTCCTCCTTGCCGAGGGATTGGCGCTCATTCTCCTCAAAGCTGGTCTTGTTCGGGCTGGGAGCGCTGCTAATTGTCGAAGTGGCCAGTCCCAGCATCTTGATCGCCTTGGCATGCTGGCTGTTCTCACGGTTAGGACGGTCGGCCAAAGAACCTCGGCTAGTCTTGGACCTCAAGATTCCAAGAGGGTTAGGCCGAGGCAGTGAGGGCTCTCTAGTGCGCTCAAAAGAGTGAGGGGACAAGGAGCGAGACAGAGATCGGCTGTCACGATCAGACTCCACATAGGACGTGAGTCTCTCTCGGACCCTGCGCTGGGCATCCGCCAGCTGGTTGGCAAACTCGTCGTGCTCCTTCTCCATCTCGGTGCTGGAGCCGGTATGACGCTCAGAAGGCGCTGTGGGTGGGTTCTCCCTCGGGACCGGGGCAGGAGCGGAAGTAGGAGCGGGCGGCAGTGCAGAGGTGGGCGGTGGTGCAGAGGTAGGCGCCGGAGCCTCCTTGGTCTCCTTGATCTCCTTGGTGGCCTGCTCGTTAAACATCGGGATCGTCGGAGACTGCCAGTCTGGCGACTGC